GATAACCAAAAATCCCAGCAGTATGTATTTAATAGTCTGTCTGGTCATCATTTCATCATATGCTGTTTGAATGCACACATGAATCAATTTTATAATTTTTCCCTTATTTGTCCATGGTCGCTTTAACAAAAAACTTACAGGGGACATGGATGATCCTATTCACTTTGGTATCCTTGGCATTAATACATAGTGGTTACTTATCAATATTCACTGAGTAATGAACAGGAATAAACCAAAGGAAAAAAGGCAGCAGCACATATGAATCATGTCATAAAGTGAAATGAAAAGAAATGATTTCAAAGGTAGGCAAAGTTTCATCATGAGCAAGAATTCATTTTATAAGTAACAAGAAACCAATAAAAAAATTTAAGCAGAAAAATTGCACAGGAAAAATTTTTCTTAAAGACTGGGCAAACTTAAAGTCTGACAAAAGCACATATAATGACAATAGAAACAGACACCTACCCTGCTGGGCGACAGAAAATAAACTGTTACAACACATAGGAAGGCAACCTAATAATATCTAGTAAAGCTTAAGATATGTACATTTTACAGCCCAGCAATTCTACTATTTATCTTCACAAAACTCTTACATACGCATGAGGAGGCAGATATGAGAATATTTACTGCAGTATTGTTTGGAAAAACTGAAAACCTGGAAACAATCTAGCATATCAACAATAAAATGACTGTATAGTGGCATAGTAATCCACTTGAATACCACTCAATAATTAAAATAATTAGAACTATATGTGTCATTATGAATAAATCTCAAAAATAGTGATCAAAAAAGATGAATTCCGGCCGGGTGTGGTGGCTCATGCTTGTAATCCCAATACTTAGGGAAGCCAAGGTGGGTGGATCACCTGAGGTCAGGAGTTTGAAACCAGCTTGGCCAACATGGTGAAACCTCATCTCTACTAAAAATACAATAATACACTAAAATACTAAAAATACTAAAATACACCGCGCCAGGCGTGGTGGCGCATGCCTGTAATCCAAGCTACTTGGGAGGCTGAGGCAGGAAAATCGCCTGAACCTGGGAGGCGGCGATTGCAGTGAGTCAAAATCGCGCCATTGCAGTCCAGCCTGGACAACAAAAGTGAAACTTCACCTCAAAAAAAAAAAAAAAAAAGAATTCCTAAAGATCCAAACTGCATAATACTTTTATATAAAGTTAATAGTGCTGTGTTTTGTTTATAAATACACAGAAATGTAGAAAAAGTACAAAATCATGGATGAGAATAATACTAAATTTAGGACAGTGGTTACTTTGGGGCAAGAAGCTAGAGAAATAAAATCGGAGCAGCAACAGGATTATTAATGTTTAACTCAAAAATATACAGATCTAAAGCAAATATAGCAAAGCATTAAGACTTGACAAAACTGAACGATGGGCATATGAGTGTTCATTACATTATTCTCTTTGGTTTTCTAATAAAAAATACGCTGGTGGCAGTATGGAAAATAGACTAGAGTGGGGAGAAGCAAAATGGAAACAAAGAGGGCAAGTAGAATACTTCTGAAATTCCATGGGAAATGACAAGCAGTGAGAGTAAGGCTAAAAAGAAAGGGGCAGAAGAAAGGAGTACACCTGAGAGATATTCTGAAAATAAAACTCACAGGATTAGGTGACAGATTGGATACAAGAGGTACAAAACGGAAATCCAATGTCATTCTTCTTTAATATAGGAGAACTAGGAAGAGAGAGTTTTAAAAGATAGTGAGTTCTTTTTTGGAAGTAAGTTTGAAGGGCCCATTCAACATCTCAGTGGAAAGATCCAATAGAAAGGAGGCAATATACCAAAGTGGTCGGCAGCTCAGGCTCTGCAGTCAGGTGCCTAGGGTTCAAATTCAGGCTGAACCACTTAAACACATTAGTTAACCACTCTAAACCTCAATTTCCATGTCTACAGAAAGGGAGGATGTTAACAAAATCGCTATTTTCACAGCATTTTGTGAGAATGAAATTATATAATGCCTTTCAAGTCCTGGGCAAAATACGTGACACAGACTTATTGCTCAATAAATGCCTATGGCTACTGTTTACAACATTTTTCTCAGGCATAGGACTTCTACCACATACATCACTTAGGACATTTTAGTAATTCCACCTTCGTTCCTCAATAACTTATTTCTATAAATTATATTCTGTTGTCTATACAGGCTTTTATAAAATGTTCAAGATGCTTAATATCATACTTTATTTATAACTGCTGAATAATTTCACTCAAGTCAGCGTAATTTTCCAACTCAAGAACATATCCTTTACTACCTGAAAGTACTATACATGAGATCTAGGCCAAATTCCTATAGAATTCTACTAAATACACACATTCAACAGTAAGTTGAAAGCACACAAACAATACATACATGCCAGGCTCTTTCAGACGATAACAATAAACAAGGCAGAAATAGTACTAACCAGAATTATAGTCTATTCACTAACAAGTAATTACAAAGCAGTGTAATAAATATTAAAACAGGGAACAAATGGGTGCTACAGAACACAGACAAAAAGAACACTCACAACTTGAGAGTTAAAAAGGGCATCCCAAAGGATGAGGTCTCTGACGACAATAAGTAGTTGGCAGAATAAGGCAGAGAAATGAAAGCTGGATTAAAAAAAAATAGTGTCTTAACCCATTTATGCCTGAGGTTGGAATTTTTTGAATTTTTGCAATCAGACCTTGGTGATGACCTTGAGCAGTAGGATATAAATAACTCCTGCATGCTCAGTGTTCCAAAAATGGAACATTAGGCATAGTTAAGCACGGGGAACATTTTCTTCTAACACCTGGAATTAACAGAGAGCACAGACTGTTGAAGAACCTGAAATAAGTTTACCACATATAAAGTATACAGTGCAAGTATGGTGTACTGAAGTATGAAGCTGGCGACATATGCAGAAGAGAGATTGGGAAGAACCTTGAAGTCATACTCTATATGATGCAATTAAATGAGACTACTTAAAAGTGCTTAGCACAGTTCCTGGTACAAAATAAGCACACATTAATTGTTAAACATTCATTTGCTATTACCTAGTACTCTCCCACTTTTGCCACAATTTGGAATCAGACAATACACCCACCAAGAAATATGTTCTACTCACTCTTCTTTACATAGTTGGTTGCTAAAAAAAAACTGTATATATAGTACTTTATAGTACTTAAGAAAAGTCTTAGAGAGTCTGTTCTTTCATTAGTAAAATAAGGACATTAACACCAACCTTGCAAGCCTACAGTAAGGAATAAAGCTAGTATGAAGAGTTCCTAGTAAGGAATAAAGCTAGTATGAAGAGTTCCTAGGAGAGTGACGGGACACATAATTAAGGACTTCCGAAGATGATTTCTATTAAGACAGATTAGCAGGTAAGTCAGAGAAATCAGAAAGTAGGAAGATTTAGTTTCACTCTGGGGTTATGCAATAGAAATGCCTTAGAAATTTTGTCACCTTAGGACTAACTTCTTTTAATAGGGTAAGATACACACACCAACGATGTTAAAGTTACAATAAAGGAGTCAATACCATTCTGATGACGTGTTTACTTTTTCCTAAAGTGCAAGCTTTTTCAAAAACGAAAAACTAATCTGTAATTTGTTTTTTTCACAATTATCTTACATTAAAAGTTTTCAAAGAAAATCCAAAATCCCATAGCCCTAAAACAACTAGTCTCATTTTACATATTTCCTTCCAGGTGCCTTCAAAACAATAATTAGGTTTTTCTACTCCATATTATACTGTTTTGATTTAAGACTTAACACCAAATGGATATTGTATTAGCAATATTTTGAGGGCAACCCTTTTGCAAAAGCAAAGATACTCTCTAGACATATTAAACAAGAAAATTTATCATCATTTGATTTATATTCAATCTTCAAGTATCACATCTGGGACTATAAAAAAGGCACTCTGTTATATAAATTTTACAGTATGTAATTATTGTCTGATTCTAACTTGTCTTACTGACAACCTAAAACATTTATTTCTAGCTACTCTTTTTCTTCCAAATGGTCTCATTCGGTGGCAGCTAAATTCTAAGAGAATTTTATTGATATTAATCCTAAATGACAATATCATAATATATTTGAGAAAGAAATTATCAAGTGACATCATTTCCTTAAAAAAGTAAAGAATATTTTACCTGAAATAAAGTAAAGGATAATCTTAAAATCAAACAAAATATTTTTTTCACACTACTACACAATTATTATCAGAAAATCCTAAGTAAACTGAAGGTTAAGTTAAATTTCCTAAGACAAAACAGCTAAAATGAGTATAAAAAGTTTATTTTAGAATTTTCAAATAAAAAATCCTACAACATCACTAAAACAAACTGTAAGTTCAAAAGAAATGAGAATATCCTTAGGACTTCTTATGGAGAAGATTTTACTCAGTGTCAGTATCTAATTCTACTAAATATCTGCTTAGGGTTCACATAAATGCCCTTAATAATCTTTCATTAGACTTTAAGATCAAGTCATCTTAACTTGCTGATGCTAAACATTCAATTATCATACTATGAGTATTCCTAACATTAAGGTTATGTGCAGTCTCTTAAGGACACATCTAATTTTCCTAGTCCTCATTATTTAATCATGTAAAAATGCCAAGAAATTAGTGAAACACACTGGAAGCCACATAAATAAATAAGTGTCAAAAAAACCCCGGAACTACTAAAACAGCAAATCTTATGCTTTCAGTCTTGAAATACAATAAGGCAAAATTGATTAGTGTTTAAAATAATCTCAACTATTTAATGACTATCCATGTAAAACATAATCACTACCTCTCTTGTCACTCAATCTTTAAAGAAAATGGTAAATTAGGTATAAAACAAGCAACTTAATTCTACATTGCACTTCAATACCAATTCATCAATAGATTAATCAATTACACATCTTATGTAGAAATTTCCCAAATATATCATTCAGTTATATATGTTCATCTTTCTTCATCTCTAATAACATGTTTTAAACTCTCTAGTAGTAAAAACCTACCTTTGAGGTTCTTTGAAGTTGATCACCAACATATGTTTTACGAAACTGATCCAAGAACCACAGAATTGCAAGCTCTATTTTCTCATTAGAACACCGAGGCAATCCAGTATCCATTAAAGATATAAGCTGAAAAACTCTTCATGAAGGGGGGGGAAAAAGCTTCAGTACAAAACCTTAGAGAAACAACATTAAAACACTTACCATAAATGTAATATAACACATAATCACTGTAAAAAGTGGGAAAATACAAAAACACATAAAGAAAATATTTTTTGAATCATCTGAAATCCTACTACTGAGAGATACTACAACTTGGTCTAATTCCTTCTAGCCTTTTTTCCCTAAGACATACACACACATGCACATAAATGCAAAACTCTGTATGTATATACAGATATTTTTTTACTAAAAACTGATAAAATAAATGCATGGCATACACATAAAAAATCCTATACATAGATATAAATTTTCAGTAAAAGAAGAACGGTATTAAGTATGTAGTCTTGTATTTCACTTTTTTACTTAATCTTATATTTCTAAATAATTAAATATTTTGAGGTTATGACTCAAAGTTCCAAAAAAATCCAGAGGTACATCTATCAAAAGTTATATCCCACCCTTAATGAATAAGAAAAGTTTACCTTAAACTACAAGGTGATCTTAACAAAATCAAATATTTCTAACACCAGTTAAACTATTATTAAGAGAAAATCATGACTTTTCTATTTATTACTATTCAAAACTATTATTAGGAAATTATAAATGAACTGAAGATTATGTTAAATTTCCTACAGAAAAAGCTTAATTCAATATAATGAAAAACTTAGTGCAGAACCTCAAAAAAGAAATCCTTCAATATTATCTATTTTCATTAAAATTTTCTGGTGGATGATTGCCAAGTACCGTGTGCTAACAAAATCAATATAATATAATAATTTTTCAAGAGACAGAAGTAGAGGTTGTTGAGGAAACAGTACCCTTTTCTAATTTGCACAAAGGCAGCTCTGCCTAGCCCTGACACACCCAGTTTTCCATATATGCACACACGAACATATATACACACATTATTAACAGTTTATATGTCCTTCCAGATAATGTTTTATGTATGTATATGCAAATATGACTATAGATTCTCCTCCCAAACCTTCTGAACACATAGAACGTATTACCCACATGGTTCTAAGCTTAGCTTTTTCCATTTAACAATCTATCTTAGAGCTCTTTATCCATCAGACATAAGAAGGTTCTTCATACTCTTCTGAAGCTGCTTAACATTCCATTATATAAATACACCATAATATTTTCAAACATTCCCCTACTGATGGATGCTAAAGTTGTTTACAATTTTTTTGCTGTTACAAAATGCTGCAATTAACAATCTTGCATATGTCATTTCACACATGTCCATCTATAACATACATTTCAAAACGTCAAGTTACTCACTCAAATGCATAAATTATAATTTTGATAGCTATTACCAAAGTGCACTCCATAAAAATTAAAATAATTTATACTCTTACCATCTCTCCATAAGAGTATCTATATACATACAGACAAGATAATTCAGGATGACAGAAAATTAGAATTTCTGGAAAGTTGAAAAATGGCATCTCGGTGTATTTTAATTTGTATACCTCTTACGCATGTGAGGTTAAAAATTTTTCATGTCATTTTCTGTGACCTGTTTGCTCATATACTTTGCTGATATTTTTCCATTTGGTTGTCTTTTAATTACTGAGTTTTACAAATTATTTACACATCAGAGGGTTGACCTCTTCGCCTACAATTGAACTGTAAACAACTTTGTGTTTCAATTGTCTCTTGGCTTTATGACAAAGTCCCCAACCCCAGGCTGCAGAGCAGTACTAGTCCGTGGCCTGTCAGGAAACAGGCTGCACAACAGGAGGTGGACAATGAGCAAGCAAGCATTATCGCCTGAGCTCTGCCTCCTGTCAGATCAGTGGCAGCACGATTCTCACAGGCGTGCAAACCCTACTGTGAACTGTGCATGCGAGGGATCTAGGTTGTGGGCTCTTTATGATAATCTAATGCCTGGTGATCTGAGGTGGAACAGTTTCATCCTGAAACCATCCCCTGCCCTGGTCCATGGAAAAACTGTCTTCCACTAAACCAGTCCCTGGGACCACTGCTTTATAATGTTTAACGCCATGCAGAAGTTTGTTATTGTTTTTCTCATGCAGAAAATTTGATCAATTTTTTCTTTCATGGATTTTGCATAATAGCAAGGTCTTACCTGAATCTGAGGAATTTTGTGATTCTTTCTTTCTACATTTACCTCTATGATACATTGGGATTCATCTTGATTATACAGTGTGAGACAGGGAGCTAACATTATTTTTTAAAGATGCCTATCCAGTTGCTTCAAAACCATTTATTTCCTGTAGAGTTTATCTTTTGTTCACCATTATGAAGCACTTATCATATATACTAGGATTCACTTATGCATTCAAAACACTTACTGAACCCTTTATTCTTTTCTACACTCCATCACACTAAATACATCCTGACCAATTATTTTTACCATATTATTAATTTTCCAAAGCACTGTTTTTAATGGTTGCATAAAATTAAGGCTACGTCAAAATTTAATCATCTTATTTTGGATAAAAATTCATATTTCTAAGTAAAACATAATTACTTTCCCCTCCTTTATCCTCAATGACTTCTCGAAACAAAGTATCTAAGTCACAGCATACGAACTTTTTCAAAAACTTGCTATGTATTGCCAACATGTTAAGAAAAAATATTTTGACAAGCGTTTTTATAGTGATTATTTCCTATATTTATAAATAAATCTACTTATTTAAAAGTACCCTTTGCATACCAAATATCCTCAGTACTGCTAAGATTTACGGAGAACTTGCTAAGGAATTAGATTTAAGAATTAGATTGTTACAACCAGGTTTTGAGGTTTTTTTTCTAAAATGATGTTTGATACGCTTATGCTCTAATTTTGAGAGGAGGAGTAAAGCTAAATTTTAAAATCTGTTTACTGGTGAATTAGCAGGTTATTGGAGTAGGTTTTAGTTAAATAAATAGATGTATACATCAAACTTCATCTCTGGAGCCACGTGATTTGTCAAGTGACTTAAGGAAGGTGTATCTTGCTTTTAAATTCTTTACTGCATAGGACCTCCCTTCTCCTACTCAAGTTCTTTGTTGATTTTATGTACTTTCTTTTGTTTACTTTTATTTCCTTTTTATAGCACACATTCCCAAATTCAAAGAAGATGTGGAACAAAAAGTCTGTTGTGGTGCCTTTACAACTCATATTAAGCTGGTGATCTGCATTTGCCTAAGAGGCAATGATATCCCCACCAGGAGGAGAGTAGGAATGAGTTCCCAGCAGGGTACACAATCCATTTGTCAAAGAAGTTTTAGCAGTTGTATAGGTTCAGCTGCAAGTGTCTGAAATCCAAAATAACAATGGCTTAAATAATATAGTTATTTATTTCTCTCTCAAGCAAAAATCCACGGTAGTTCCCTAAAGCTAGCTGGTGCTCCATGATGTATCAGAGGCTCAGGTTCCTTCCATCTTGTCACACTTGCCTCCACAAGCACTTTGTGGTCTAAGGTAGCTTCTTCAGCTCCACGTTTGGTCTACATAGGTTACACGTAACACGTTCATCTACACTCAACTTCCCAGAACATAGTCACTTTGCCACACCTAGCTGCAAACAACCTAGTAAATCTAGTCTTTATTCAGAGTGGCCATCTGCCCAAGAAAACAATCAAGTACTTTATTATGGGAAGGGAAAGGAAGAAGAAATGAAAGACAATTGACAGTCTCTACCACAGTGCCCCCTGAAGATGTGCTGCCACCTCTAACAAATGTGTAAGACCAATGCCTATACATACCAATATAGACAGGTTTAGTATCCCTTTGCTGAAATGCTTCAAACCAGAAGTGTTTCCGATTTTTAATTTTTTAAAAATTTGGAATATTTGCATTATATTTACCATCTGAGCATCTCCAATCCAAAAATCCATAATCTGAAATGCTTCAATGAGCATTTCCTTTAAGCATGACCTTTGAGATTCATGTTGATGCTCAAAATGTTTCAGATTTTGAAGCATTTCGAATTTCAGATTTTTGGATTAGGGATGCTCAATGTGTATATAATATCTACTCCCAGTTCCAATTTATTGTCCTACATATATTATTCCTTTATCTTAAATTATTTCTGGTAAAAAGCACAGAATAAAAAGATAAATAATCTTTGATCCAAGTATAAGCATGCCATTTCAAACATAATGAAATGAATTTTGGATAACTGTTCTGAATTTTCCTAGGTATCCACCCAAATAAGTATTTCTTCAGTCAACAAATTTGAGGGCCCACTATATGTCAGGTATGTGTTAGGCATTCAAAATACATCAAAGGACAAGACATATATATCCCCAGTCCTCTAGAAATCGATAATCTACAAAGAAGAAGACAAAAGAAGCAGTTAGAATCAAGAATGACAAGTCCTATAACAAATGTTATCTCCTAATATTCTAGGATGGAACAAGGCAAAGCCACAGATTGTTGCGACAAAGAGGAAAGCATGTGTAGCCATCTAAAGGGGCAGGGGGCTAGGCGCGGTGGCTCAGGCCTGTAATTCCAGCACTTTGGAAGCCCAAGGCAGGCAGATCCCTTGAGGTCAGGAGTTTGAAATCATCCTGGCCAACACAGTGAAACCCTGTCTCTACTAAAAATAAAAAAATTAGCCAGGCATGGTGGCAGGCGCCCGTAACCCAGCTACTCAGCTGTATAATGTTCAACATGGCTATAATGTAGTGAATGGCAGAAAATGAGGCTAATGGGACAGGCAGGAGCCAGATAATGAACAGCCTCATAAGCCATGTTGTTCATCTCAAAAACAATAAAGTCACTGCATAGTTTAAGCAAACATCCCAGTGAAACAGTCCAATGGGTGTTTGGAAGTCAGAAGACAAGAATTACTGAAACAAAATACAATCACTGAGCAATGCTGAGGGCCTAGTTGAGGTTAAAAACAACAAGTGACAATGGGTCCTATCCACAGAAGTGTGCAATTTCTTTTACTATCACTCAACAAATTCCCTCAGGGTGAAGCTTTTGCCACACAGAGGAGATAAAATACAGCAGTA